AGACATCTGCAACATCATGAAAGAACACTTTGTTCCGAAAAATACCTATTGTTTACATTCTATCGATAAAACTATTGAACCTATTCTGCCAAATATCTTCCAAAAATACTTCAAACATAATTTCTTCATCCTGCAAATATCCAATAAACTTCTGGAGGATATTCACGATTATGATGAACAGCAACTGAAAATAAAATACTATCAGGAAACAAAAACATCCCATAGAGGTATACAGGAAAACATAATTGCCCTCAAGAAGAACTTTTATTGGACCAATCTTGAAAATGACGTAAAAACGTACCGATAGTTACCATACCTAGTTACCATACCTACATGCCCAATCGAAATGAACAACCAAATATATGAAAAGGAGAAGAAAACTGAGTTCCAATTCATCTTGGATATACCAAAATTCTCGTAGTAGAAAGAAAAGAAGAACTAAAACTACAGCTCGAAGAAGTCAATCTCGAAGAAGTCAATCTCGAAGAGCTCAATAAAGCTCACAAGATGCTCTACACCATCCAATTTCATACTCTCAATGCTCCTAGCATAGCAATAAACCATTGGGCGATTTCATTGACAATGCTTATATCTATCGCAATTGGCGTAGCGGTGTACGTTACAAAGAAGAAATGGCCCAGACGCAAAAATTGACTCATTATTTAATAGCCTCGCTCGCGAGCTCGCTCGGCCATAAAATTATTCGTCCAATAAAGCCTTACTTTATGTACTTGTTATATAAATAGCTATTATGTCCAATTGACCAATAAAGTGCTATTTATAGAACAGTTTTGCGTCAATAAAGTAGCACTTTATTGTACTAGTAAAATAAAGTGCTACTTTATTTTACTAGTAAAATAAAGTGCTACTTTCAAGGCATTCCGACATTAATAAGAGTGGGCGAGAGCGCGGTAAGTGCATCCTTATATTTTACATGCTTCTAGAAAAAGATGCAGATAAGCTCAGTGCGCATTGATTGACAAATGGAAATCTCTCAAAAAGTGGGGTTAAGTTGAGGGTGCGCCTAGATGGAATGACACACAGACGTTGATATATCTCTCTTTTTTGCACTAATGAGTAAGTGTGTGTCGAATATAGGATGAAGGTTTGATTCATTTCATACTCAAATACAACAGCTATGACGTAGAATCAAGGCGCGAAATATTTTCGTTTAAATAGTGCGTCCCAAAACTCTATTTTTACAATCGTTTTAAATAAAGTTAGCAATTTTTTCTGAAATTTCTTTCAATAGGAATATTTTTCATTTACTCCATAGATGAACAATAGATCATCGATTTCATTGAAATTATACATTGTCCACTACCCTATTCCTTTTACCTGAAGAAATTGGGAGTGAAAAGGGGAATAAAAGGAGCCCATCATACTGAAATTTCAAGTTTATTTATTTAAAAATGGCAACAAGAGAAAATCTTGAAAAGCAACTTAAAAAACCAAATTAAGAAAAATGCACCCTTTCATATTTTGATGATTTTTCGAAAAACTCTACATGAGAACATTTTCAAACTTTTGGAGTGAAAAGAGGAAGAAAAGGAGCTCATCATAATGAAATTTCAGAGTAATACGATCAAGAATGGCAACTAAGAAAATCTTGAAAGCAACCAAATTAAGAAAAATGCATTCTTTCACATTTTAATGATTTTTCGAAAAACTAAATGCGAAAATTTTGAAACTTTTGGAGTAAAAAGAGGAAGAAAAAGAATTCATTATACTGAAATTTCAAATTAATTCGATGAAAAATGGCAGCATGAGAAAATCTCGAAAAGCAACTTGAAAAAAACATATTAAGAAAAGTGCACCCTTCCACACTTTGATGATTTTTCGATAAACTCTTGATAGGCACATTTTGAAACTTTTGGAGTAAAAAAAAGAAGAAAAGGAGCTCATCATACTGAAATTTCAAATTAATTCGATGAAGAATGGCAACTAAGAAAATCTTGAAATGCAACTAAAAAAAACAAATTAAGAAAAATGCACCCTTTCACATTTTGATGACGTTTCGAAAAAATCTTGATGAGAAAATGTTGAAACTTTTGGAATAAGAAGAGGAAGAAAAGGAGCTGAAATTTCGAATTAAGCCGATTTCAGGCTCTCAAATTCCATTTATTTGGAGAAATTTGAAGAAGAAAAAAAAACAGAAATTCAAGAACTAAGAATAGACAAAAATTGACGGCGAAAAAATGATAGAGCAAACTCAGTATAAATTGAAAAATGGAAGTGGAAATTGGAAAGAAACTGAATGACAGGTAGGAATCTGAATATATCATGAATGATATAGAAAATTTCATAAAAATTAAAAAAGAGAAGAGGAAATTGAGGAAAAATAACGCAGAATTTCAATTAGGTACTTAGTGATAACTAGAAAGATAATGACCAGTTCGCTGAAGTTGGTGTAAGAGCAAAATGAGTTGCTAAAGATGATGTTGGAAAAATTGCAAAGGGCTCAACCTGAACACGCTGTAATGACCCGGGAAAAATAGACACGTACCTAATTTACAAAGACTTGAAATACAAAAACAATAAATTTATATGTAATCAAATAATGTAAATTGAATCAAATAATCTAATATAAATTAAATCTCCAGTATTCACTATTAGAAGAAAAGTTCTTACTTTCTTAATTTAGCATTGACACAAATTAATTGAAATATCTAAAATACGTTCAAATTTTAATAGTTAGTCACCAAGCGTGTGTCATCAGATTAAACTCATAAATCAAATCAATAGCAATATTAAAATCAAGGCATAAGTAATTAAATTGGGATCCAAAGTGACAGAATTACAATAAAACCATGATTTATTGCGGCTTTTCTTTGAATTAGGTGTCCGCCGCATTCTGTCAAATCTACTGACCCTGATAAACCAGGAAATTGCGACATATACGGTTTTAGAAAAATAATTATATTTCTTAGAAAAGAGGAAAGGTAATGAATTGACATTACCCGAAATTATTGGGGGAATCGAAAAATATAAAAACAGCGGTTTCGGAATTTTGGAATCAGTTCAGTCTTCAGTTCAGTTCAGCTTAGTGCCTTGAGTCTTGAGTCTACAGTAAGATTAATGAGTCGGATAAAATTCGCGAAGAGTTTCTTTTATTTTGTTGCCTCGGGAAAACGCGTTGAATCGAATCTTTGAAAAAGTAACAGAAAGTCCTGAAAGAAAGAACATTTGAATTCGTTCGACATTATGTGCGAGCTCTAAATAATCAAAAGAATGAAATTAGAATAATTCAGTGTTTTAAGGACGAAATGTAATTATTCTAGTGACATGTTTATTTGACTTCATTAATGATTGCAGATTGCAGTGACTATGAAGTAAGTGAATTGGCAATGGGACTTCGAAAAAATGTTGTTGACTTGAGTGAACAATACTTTTTTTTTTGTTCAGTATGAATAGGAGATTTTAATGGCTATTGAATCAGTGAGCTCTGTCTAATGAAGAGAATTAATGAACATTGAATTATTGATTATAATTAAATATTTTTTGTTATGCCTGAGTGTAGATCGTAAAGAATTAATTAACATGTTTGATGTTTTGTTAAAGTAGTTAGGTACTCTGGCTGAAGTTTCAAAGTTGAGTAAAGCTTTGTGCAAATTTGGGCAATAAGCGAAATCAGGGGGTTTATAGAATTGGACGTTTTGAAAATTGTAATGTTTTGACGTGAAGGAGTTTTGGTTAAATATATTGTTACCTTATGTAGTAGAGCTCTATAAAAGAGTTATTTGAGTACAAGGCTTTTGATTGTAACAGTTTATTTAGAAGCTCAGAGACAGTATAGGGTAGCTGTAAGTTAGCATCATTTAGAATTGTTTTTTTTTTGTTGTTTTAGAAAGGTGTTGAATTAGGTTATAACAATTGTACCATTGTAATTTGGAAAACCTCTGTTTATTTTCTCGAATAAAGTATATTTATCAATGGATAACCGTACATTAGTTGTTTCTCTAACTTGCAAATAGACTCGCCACCACAATTTTATTTTACAAACAGTAGCTGCCCAAGGAAATAATCACCATCAAATGCGACCACTAGCGAGTTACCATCTAACCTCAATAACAGAGTATTTGGCGCGGATGGTACAACGCGATGAGGCAGCTAAAACCATAAAGTCTAATTTTAGACCTGCACCTACTCATGAAAAAAGATGCAGAAGCAGAGCAAGCTGAATTAGAGCCATACCTACTTATTTTTGTATTATTGGCAGACGAGATGGCAGATATAGGTACTCTCTGGAACTTATTTCTCTCAATGAAACAAATTACCACTCAAGTAAAGTTTATGTGCGATTTTCTATGATGAAAACCTCTCCCAGTCAGACTGTTTGTAGAACGCACCCGTGTCCCGTGTCCCTGACCATTTAGCAAATCCGACCTAGATTTTTCACTTGACCGTTGGTCTTTATTGCACGCCAACCAGGCGTCGAAACGGAATCTTTTCCTTTCCTCACCCATATTCCCGGTATATGGCGGATAATCTACTTGGAAGGTTATTGGGTTTTCATGCAAGAATTTCTAAATATAGTAATTGTCGCCCTTATGATCGGCGGCTAGTTTAATTTTATGCTGTATAAAGGCAAGGTTAATGGGAAATTTGAATTTATATTTAGCAAATATGCAAAAGAGCTTCAAGATATAACTTTGTAGCTTTTGTATTGTAGAGGAGGCCGCCACTCAGTCTAAGTCCAAGTTGTTTTTTTTGGACGAGAATTATTACTAGTTTTTCAAAATTACTACCTACTCAAGAATCCTGAGTCAGATTAAGGAAAAACTTCTAAACAAACCATATGTATGCTTTTATATAGTTTTTTTTTCACAGAGTACCTATGTTGCTCATTGTAGTTTGGGTCGCAGAATCACAACTGTTAGTGAAGAGTATTTCTAATTTATTTGATTATATATCAGTTGAATAAAAAGCTAGAAAGAAGAACCAAAAATTTACCAATACATGTCGGTTAGTTTGAGCTTCTGTCACAATAATTGTCAGCAACAAGTCAATCCTAAATCCAAACGAAATGCCTCCAAAGAAACCCGATCCTAAATCCCAAGTTAAATCCGACCCAAAATCTACACCAAAGGCACCAGCAAATAGCAAAAGCGCTGTTATAGTGAAATATGGAAAACCTGTGCTGCAAGTTGAGTTTAAACGGATAAAATTCTTCGTTGCTTTATTTGTATTAATGTCCATATGCATGCTTATATATGGTTTTAGTTTGCTTGTTAACGCTATCAAAATAAGGAGCCATTTAGGTGCATTTATAAACATGATATCAAGCGGAGATGGGGAAATTTTACCATCCCTGTTGGCCATTCCAATATTTTTCTTTATTTGCCTTAACGTTGCAATATTTATGCTTGTTTATAAGATTTTCGCCAAAGAAAAAAGACCAGGGATCAATAGGATTTTGTTTATATTGTCCTTTTTGGCTCTGATAATGGTAAGACCATATAGTACAATAATAGTTAGTATTTAGGATTGCGAAAATTTTCAGATATTGGCAACATTAATCACCATCTTCATGACTCTAGGTCACATATTCGGGTCCAATAAACATATAGAAAATGGTATACTCATTGCCATGGAAAAATACGCTATTAATTCGCATTACAAAAAAGAAATCGACAGATTACAAATAGAATTTCAATGTTGCGGAAGTAAACGGTATGACGATTGGTACAATATTACTTGGTTGGAAAAAGAATTAATATTAAAAGAGTAAGAATAATTTGGATTTATACAGAAAAGCACTATTTAAGTAGTAGCAAGGTAACATGAGACTATAAAATTATTGCTCGACCTTTGAAGTATTTCGTATCAGTGCTCACAAAAGAGGAAACTAAATAAGTCAAACAGCTATCTGAGTCTACATATTATCTGGCTAAATTTATTTAAGACGCTAGTTATGTACACTCTATACATGGCCTCTTATGGATGAGAACCGTAACAACAATCCGACTTCGAGCGACCCACACGATTATTACTGCTGACTTTACATTTATACCATTTTATTTAAGCCATTGTAACGGATGAAAATTCGTCTTTATTCATTTGTATTTCGAGTAATAAAGTCCCTGCTTTTAAAAGTTTGTTTTTTAAAAAGTAACTTGCCCTAATCGAACCTAAAATTGGCGCAGTCGATAGGATTTGCCAAAACGTCGCGTTATCGTCGAGACAAAAATCGCTCGTAATTTCGCAAAAAGTTCCGTTTACGGTTAATTTGGCAATCATCGTGGTTCCGGGCAACAAACGGCGAAAATCAAACTGAAGCAGTAACTGGTGGAGGACCACATCGCCAAAACCAGCTAGTTTAAGAAATCTAGGGAGTTGAAGACAAAAATCGCTTCTTTCCTCTTGGAACAGTAGTTAAGTGTAGAAAATAAGTGAAATAAATGCTACAGGAATGAAACAAATCATTTTTCTATTAATGTAAGTAAATTTTAAGTTTATTTTTATAGATTTTTGCTCATTTTTTATAAAGTCACTATTTTTTCTTTTTGCTTTTTAACGATTTATGTCTGATTCTGAAGACGAAATCGAAAATATCATAAATAGATTTAATTTAATTAATTTTCAAACAACAAATCATAATAATCAACAACCAACTTTGAATTTACCAAATAATACAATGCCTAACCAAAATCAACCAATCAATTACCAATTGTTACGTTTGTATGTGGACACTATTCCTCCTTATGATGGAGATCCGCACACATTAACCATTTTCATCAATAATTGCAGTTGTCTTATTAGTAATTTCCATCGTGACAATGACGATGTTCACAACAGCTTTATTGTGAGAGCAATAATTGGGAAATTATCAGGTCGAGCCCTCAGCTTAATTGGTTCTCGAATTAACGAATTAAAAACTTGGAACGATGTAAAATTTGCTTTAGAGTTAAGTTTTGGTGATCAAAGAAATTTGGATTGCCTTGTTCAAGATTTAATCACGCTATCACCTAATAAAACCGAAACACCTTATAATTTTGGCATGCGATGCCAAGACGCACGTTCTTTGGTATTCTCAAAATTAAACTCATTGAATTTAACACAAGACGAACTTGACATCAAAACTCAAAACTATAACGATCTTGCCTTAAAAACATTTATAAGAGGTTTACCAGGTCAGCTACAAAATAATATCCGTTTACGAGACCCTATAAGCCTTGAAAAAGCAATGTCTCTCGTGATTGAGGAAGAAAACTTCTTATACAGCCAAAGTCGTAATAATTTACTTAACTTTCAAAACTTCAGACTAAACCAGAGAGTTACTCCTGCTAATAACAATAGCAGCAATAATCACCCTCGTAACAAAAATATTAACTACCAAAATAACCAGCAAACAAATCTCGCATTTCAGAGACCACCATTCAATAACAATCACAGGCCATTTGGTTTCCAATCATCAGGACCAAATACATTTTATCCAAGACCAAATAATACATTCCAATTCAGACCAAATACATTCCAACCCAATTATTCACAATTTAGACCCAATTTCCAAAGACCATTTTTCTCTGGCCAAAAACCGAGCCAAATAATTCGAAATAATCAATTTCGACCACCTTTCAATAATCCCAATCAAAACAATCAGAATAAACAGAAACCCGAGCCAATGGATACTTCATCTGGCAACACAATGATTAACAATCAAAGACAACAACCCAAATATACATTCACAGAATTAAACCAACAAAGTATTGAAAATAATCCTTATGATCCAAGTCAATACTTTGATTATCAAAATATGATGAGTCATGCCGATAACTTTGATTATTCATATTTATACCAAAACGATCAAGATCAAAATTTCGATCCAAATGACCAATATTCTTTTGATAATAATTATTATCCTTCTAATGAAGAAATGCCATATAATACTTATAACCCATACGCAGAGTGCAACAATGTAAGTAACTTACAACAGTCTGAAATTTCGACAGCCAGCACTTCTCAGGAGGAAGCTGATGAATTAAATTTTCATATAATCACATCCAACAACAAAGTAACTTAATTAACTTGAACGTGACCGCAGCAAATTTGCCTTATCTGTACATCCCTGAAATAAAAGCAAATATCTTAATAGATACAGGGAGCACTAAAAGTTTGCTGTCTTCGAAAATAGTTAATAAATTTTACAGAAATTATACTTTTCAAGAAGAATTTCAGATTCAAACACCTCACAATATTTCTTATCACGACCAAGCAGTATTAATACCAAGTTTTGATATTTTTAAAGACAAGAATAAGCATAAATTCTTTGTTTTTGATTTTAGCAAAAAATATGACGGACTGATTGGCATTGATTTGTTAGCACAACTACAAGCTGTATTGGATGTTAACAAGAAATTATTAATCACTCCGATTGTAAAAATACCAATTATTTTTGAATTGGAAAAAATTAATACAAGTAAAAGAATAAGTAACTTTAATTGTTCTATAACTATTCCTGCTAGAACACAACAAGTGGTAAAACTGCCAGTCAAGTACGAAAAAGGTCATTGCATTCTAAATTATATTAAATTCGATGAACAAATAGAGTCACCAGAAGCTATTACTAATATCGAAAATTATTTTGCAACAACAACCATTATTAACTCTAGATCAGAACCAATAACTATCAAAATAACTGCACCTTTTAATTCAGAATTACTGAATGTTAACGAAATCAATTTTATAGAAAAAATGGAAGTTGACGACGTTATTGAGGTTGACCCTTCCAAAGATAATCTACTGAAAGCTAATCTTAAGAATCTCAGATTACAACATTGCAATTCCGAAGAAAATAAAGCTATAAGAGATTTATGTTTAGAATTTAGAGATATCTTTTATTGCGATAAAATCCCTCTAGCATTCACCAATCAAATTCAACATAAAATCAATTTAACTGATGATACCCCAATCTTTACTAAGACGTATCGTTATCCCGAAGTCCATAAGGCAGAAGTAAAATCCCAAATTCAGAAAATGCTTGATCAAAACATCATACAAGAATCATTTTCACCATTTTCTAGTCCTATATGGATAGTTCCAAAAAAATTGGACGCTTCCGGTAAACGTAAGTGGCGTTTAGTAGTTGATTATAGGAATTTGAACTTACGAACGATAGATGACAAATATCCACTTCCGAATATCAATGACATCCTTGATAAATTAGGCAAAAGCCAATATTTCTCCACTTTAGATTTGGCCAACGGATTCCATCAAATTGAAATGCATCCTGAGGATATTCAAAAAACCGCTTTTTCGACTGAGAATGGTCATTACGAGTACAAGCGTATGCCCTTCGGTCTAAAAAATGCCCCCTCCACATTCCAACGAGTAATGGACAATATCCTTAGAGGTCTCCAAAACGAGGAATGTCTAGTTTATCTTGACGATATTGTCGTCTTTAGCACATCCCTTCGTGAACACATTAGTAGATTGAGAAACATATTTCTTCGACTACGTCAAGCAAATTTTAAGGTCCAACTTGACAAATCGGAATTCCTTCGCAAAGAAGTAAGTTATTTAGGACACGTTATTACACGTGATGGTGTCAAACCAAATCCAGACAAAATTGATGCGATAAAAAAATTCCCGATACCTAAAACACCCAAGGAAATTAAGAGCTTTCTAGGCCTTGTCGGTTACTACCGAAAATTCATTAAAGACTTTGCATGTATCACAAAACCTTTAACTAAGTGCCTCAAAAAGACCGAAAAAGTAATTCATGATTCAAATTTCATACTAGCCTTCGAAACATGCAAAAATTTATTGATCAACGCACCAGTACTTCAATATCCTGACTTCACCAAGCCATTTGTTTTAACAACAGATGCTTCGAATGTAGCCTTAGGAGCTGTTTTGTCCCAAGGACAAATCGGATCTGATAAGCCAATTGCTTTTGCATCCAGAACCCTGAATGACAGTGAAACACGATATAGTACCATTGAAAAAGAATTATTAGGCATAGTTTGGGCTTGCAAGTATTTTAGGCCATACCTTTTCGGCCGAAAATTCACAATATATACTGATCATCGACCTCTAGTTTGGTTATTCACAATGCGTGAACCCAGTAGTAAGCTCATACGCTGGAAACTTAGATTAGAAGAATTTGACTTTACCATTGTGTATAAAAAAGGAAAACTCAACGTAAATGCTGATGCTCTTTCAAGAATTCAAATCAATACCCTCGAAAATAAAATTGATACAGAATCAATGATCAATAATCCAGGCGATATAGACCAACAAAATACCCTTGAGTATTTACGAAATCTTGCAGAGAGTTTTTCAACATACGATATTGATAACGACAAAAATACTGAACCAAATCAAACCAGTAATGCAGAGACTATTGAAACCCACATACCAGATTTACCTGATATCACTTTCGAACCAAGTACTTCTAAACAAAACCATGTAAAAATAGTGTCAGATATCCAAATTAAACCTCCTAAAAAGCCAACTAACTCTGATTTACAAACAGTACACACTACACAAAACGAAACAACTAATAATGGAATAAAAATTTTAGACGAATTGATTAACAATAAAGTAAATCAAATCCTTGCCTTCCCACATGCCCATAATAAATTGGATGTTAAACAAGAAAATTATGAACATCATAAAATAATTACTGTGAAAATCCCTAAAATCAATAATGAAAAATTAATTTTCCAATTTCTCCGAGACTATACAATCACGGATAAAACATATTGTATGTATTTCCATACAGCTGAATTATATCTTCAGTTCAATCAAATTTATCTACAACATTTCTCTGACCATGGCCCAAAATTATTAAGATGTACCAAATTATTAAATACCATTACTAATAAAGAAGAACAAATTTTATTGACAAGAAATCATCATGAAGGAAAAACTAATCATCGTGGTATCAATGAGACCATCGAATACCTTAAACGAAATTATTACTGGATAGGTATGAAAAATACTGTTTCCCAATATATCAATGTTTGTGATATATGTCAACGCGCTAAATACGCTAGGACAAAACCCTATCACCCATTTGTATTGACTGAGACACCCTCCAAACCTTTCCAAATAGTTCATATGGATGTATTTTTCTACAACAATAAAATATATCTAACTCTAGTTGATTCTTTTTCCAAATTTGCTCAAGCGATAGAAATTCTCAGTAAAAATGCCATCAATATATCAAATGCATTGATTAAGTATTTCTCTTATTGTGGTATACCTGAAACCTTGATAGCTGATAACGGCACAGAATTCAATAATGACACGGTTAAAGAAATCATGAAAGTCCATAAAATAAAGATTCATTTTACCACACCACAACATCATGAGTCTAATAGTATTGCTGAAAGATTCCATTCAACAATAATAGAACATTTACGTCTATTAAAAGAATCATTTCCAAATGATACCAGTAGTCTGATGGATTATGCTATTATAGCTTATAATAGTTCCATACACAGCGCTACAAACCATACCCCTTTTGAATTAACACACGGACATACTAACTCTAGAGACCCAAATGAGATTTTCATACTAAAAGAATTTTATAGCGATTATGCCGAAAATCATAAAAAGAAATTAGAACATGTTTATGAGAAAGTTAAAGAAAATCTTATAAACAACAAGAAAAAGGTAAACTCTAAACACAACGTCAAAGGTGACGAAAATCGAGCTTTTAAATTAGACCAAATAGTGTTCAAACAAAATCCACTCAATCGAAACAAGAAAAATAATAAATTTATAGGACCATACATAATTACGCAAATATTAGAAAGAAATCGAGTAGAGATAGCAAGAAAAGATAATCTTAATAAAAAAGAAATTATTCATGTCAAGGAATTAAAACAACCTCCTTGTATTGTTTCAGACTTGCTACCTACACCCTAGGCGAACTAGACAAACCAAAATATCATGACTTGACTGATAATCCAGGATTATTGCCTCTGAAACTTGGCAACGCACAAAATCAGATTAATTCTTGGACTTTTATACAAGTTTTCGACATATCAGGAATAATCGATAACTTCTACATATTAAGTGATCAATATGAACGTATCGAAAGAGCTTTTGATAATGACACCACATTAGTTAAGAAATATAGACACATTTTCGAAAATTCTCATAATTTAATGCTATCTTTTAAAACCAAAATAATGACACAAATTATGACACTAAACCCCGTACTAAAACCTAGACAAAAACGAGGACTTATTGACGGTTTAGGATCAATAATAAAATCAATCACAGGTAACTTAGACCAAAACGATGCTAAAAAATATGAAACAGCTATTGATACTCTATCAGGGAATCAAATGAAAATTAAAACCTTAGTAAAAGATCAAATCACACTATTTCAAAAGTCAATCCAAATATTTCAAGATAATATCCAAAATTTAACTAAAAATCAAAAAATATTGGATAAACGTGTTGAAGAAATCGAAACGGTTTTAAACACAAGAAAAAAAGAAGATGCGAATAATTTCTACTTCTTTTATATCGAAATGATAATTTCTCAAATAGCGACCGAATTTCAAACTATCTATGATATCTTAGAAAAAATTGAAACTGCCATTACCTTCTCCAAAATAAATACCTTCCATAATTCAATAATTAACTCCAACGAATTGATAAATGAAATAAAATCAATTTCTATTCACCTGGACGATAATAAGTTACCATTCGAACCAAAAATCGAGAATTTGTTATTGTTTGAAAGAATACCTACTAGAAATCAAAAGCTACGGAAAAGGTAATCAAATAATATTTATAGTTAAGATACCGATAGTTGAAAAAGAAAACTATAATTACTATCATTTATATGCACTGCCTATTGACAAAAATGATTCTTTTAAATTAATAATTCCAAACAACAAATATTTGATTATCAATGAGCAAAATCATTATTTCTCTGATAAACCATGCATCGAAATCATTCCTGAAGAATTTATCTGTCACGAAATGGATCCCACTAAAACTACAGAGGATTCACCATGTGAAACCCAGTTACTAAAATTCTCCCAAAACTTGTCAAATTGCCACCTGGTTCCTGTAAAAGTCAACCAACTGAAAATTCAGAAGATTGAAGCCAACCAATGGATAGTACTGAGTCCAGAACATACTGTGGCAGCTCAAAAATGCGACAACCAGAACGAGAAGATACCCTTAAAAGGAACATATCTAATTGAACTCCCTCCTAATTGTGAAATCGAAATAAATAACATTTATTTGAGAAACCTTAATAGTATTAAACGTCAATTCAAAAATATTAACTTTCCCAAATTAAATTTTGAATTATTAAAAGATAAAATTGTCACTAATATCAAACCTATCAAATTAGATGATATAAACTTAAATGAAATCAATTCAGTCAAGAACGCATTAGAAATCGAAGAAAAGAAGATCAACCAAATCGAAGAACAAGCAATCAACTTCAATACTATTAATGGCTGGACAATAATAACTTATCTAATAATTTTTGTAATAATTATCTTTGTCCTTTTTAAGCTTTACAAGGATAAGATATTTTCAAGAAAGAAGAAAGAAGAACCCGAAGAAGAATCCCCCAGCCAACCATTGCCAAATTCTGGCCCTAACCCCAGAATTTTACACTAAGGGCGGAGGAGTTATGTACACTCTATACATGGCCTCTTATGGATGAGAACCGTAACAACAATCCGACTTCGAGCGACCCACACGATTATTACTGCTGACTTTACATTTATACCATTTTATTTAAGCCATTGTAACGGATGAAAATTCGTCTTTATTCATTTGTATTTCGAGTAATAAAGTCCCTGCTTTTAAAAGTTTGTTTTTTAAAAAGTAACTTGCCCTAATCGAACCTAAAATTCGCTAATGTTTTATTTCTATACTTTGCCACGCAATTCTGGCAGTAAAACTTATTTTCCTTTTTCAGCACAAACACTACTACTGCTTCTACCAACAACACTCAATTAAGTTTCGGCAAAACACCATTCAGTTGTTGCTCGATAAAATCCAAATTTCCATGTATACATTTCGACATAGAATCCACCGGAGTCAATTATCAGTACATACCGGAGTTCAATTTGAGCATTTCCGGCACCGGATGTCGCTCGAAGATTGTGGAAAAGAAGCAGCAGATAGGTATGGGCATCGTTGGCAGCTTGTTTTTATTTATATTTTTAGAGGTAAGCTCAATGTATGTTTTCTAGTTTAATGTTCTATGGAAATTGAATTAGACCCTTATTATTTGAGGAGAAAAATTAATGCGAGAGTTGCGTGTAGAGTAAATTGGTTGTGGATGATGTTGGTGAATGTTTTGCATGATGTCGGATAGGCCTCAGAGTTAGAGGAGTATTTTTATTAGTTTAATTACTTTTTTTTATTCATGCAGGGTGTCCCACGGCGTTTCACCCAGTAATAGCTTCGGAACGCGTCATCCAATGGGTAACACCACACACCACCTGGGACACCCGACACCCTGTATAAAATTATTTTCAAAAGTCAATTTTTTAAGGTATTTATTTAATTTTTTTTTTCTTTCAGTTCCTAATGTTAATTCCGGTACGATTTTTACAAACTGGACATTCAGTGGATCATCGATTTTTAGGCAACAGTAAAACTTATACGGTATGGTTATTTGGATCATATACAGGGAAAAACGAAAAAACTGGAATTCCAGATGAATCTGCACCAGTATCACCTGATATAGATTGATTTAATTTAATTTTATCATCAATTTTGAATTAGAAAAAAAAGCTCATGAGGCGAACATTTCATTTTCAAAAAGCCATTGAACCTTTCCCTCAAATTAATTATTGATAGGTAATTCTTTTTATATTATAATAGGCAATCGATACGACCTAGATATGAGGATGTATAGAGCTTTTTGTCAAAAACACCTCTATTTTCTGCAATTTATGCAAAACGTATCTACAGGTATACATATATCTAAAATTTAAAAAAAAAAATACAAATTCAGACTATCAAAAAATTGATTCTCTAATACGAAAAAATACCAAATTCTTACCAGTCGTCGGTGGCAAATTCATTTGTAGAGCCTCCCATGCGGTTGCGATTTCCCGGAAATTGATGAGCCATTGTGGAAAAACGCACACACGTGTGAAAAAGGAAACGCTGCACTGCCAAACCGAATGTTAGGGCTTTGTTTTGGATTCGCTTTTATTACGGGTCGTCATAGTTACTCGTAAACACAACTACAGGTCGTTTGAATATTAATTTTTACTCACTTGTGCGAATAATGATACGTTATTTCATTGCGAAACTTAATTTCTGGCTTTTTATTGTAATTATTGTTTTAGTTTTACTAGGTGTGAATTTTTTTATTATTTTACAATATACTTAAGTATAACATACGAATTAAAGTTGAATTCTACATTGATTTTTGTTGGTGATTTAGATTATAATAGAATCTCATTTTTCGTTTAAAGACTCTGATCATTCTGAAAAGTCCAAATTTAGGTGACTCGTCCTTTAGAATGGGCTTCAAGGCAATCTTTCTTCCACCTTCATATGACCCCGTTAAGTCCAAAAAAACAAATACCTAAGGTTCGTTTCACCAAGGTTCATACTTGACCTTGAAATTTGAAAAAAAAAGGTTGTCGTAGATTAATTCATATGACACATTCAATTTTTTTGACAAGTTAAAATGAACGACTTCTGGTTTAAGAACCGACGAACGTTTTTGACGTCATTGATTTGTTTCAGTCAATTTTCATTTGTTAAACAAGGAAGGCAAATGCTGGTGGCAAGTACAAACCCTGGCGAAACAAACTTTACCTACCGTCAAACGGGGTTACTTGGGACAATTTTGACATTCAAGCTTGGATAACTTTGATAAATTTAGGAAAATCATTTCTAAATCATGCTCAAATATTGAGTCAGGTTCTTTTCAAATAAAAATAAAAATAATTAGTAGTAAAAAAAAATATACAAAGCCAAAAAAAAATTAATTAATGGCTGTCCCAAGTAACCAAGGAAGTTGGGGTAAATTGGGACATCTTGAAATTTTTGTTAATTCTTTAGTTAGGAGCTTCCTAAAGCAACATAATGGGACAATAAGAAACAAGATAAAAAAGTTTTAGCTGTAAAAAACTTTTAAAAAAAGAAGAAAACCAACGTTTTAAGTAAAAAAGTGAACATTTACTCTATACCATTGCTGAAAACAAAAACCATCTTATTTTTATAAATTAAAATGGGACACATTGTTAAACCGTTAGAATTTGTTTTAATTTTCATGGGATAAAATGGGACATGTCCTAATTTAACCCGACATCAGACATTTGTTTATAATTTTGCTTGTCAATATTTAGAAACAAATCCTAATAAAAAAATACACTTGGCAACATAGTGGAAAGTAGCCGAGTTAACAATATTTAGAAGCATACTTGGAAAATTTTGAAACATAACCTCCTGGCGCACAAAGTTTTGCGACTTATTTTTTTGAATAAAAAACCATGATTTTTAAAAAATATATAAATTACCTACTTTTGAGTCAATTTAATGGAAATGTGATAGATATCTATTTCAAACACGTGAAGTTGATAAACTTGAACAAAAACGAACGTTTGAGCACCCCGCTATTGGCAACTGTTAACACTTTCCACCGTTGCCAAATGTCCCAAGTATCCCCTATGTCCCAAGTAACCCCGTTTGACGGTACTCAAAATAAGCCCTGGTTGAACAAAGGGATGTGCAGGGAAATCAAGAAGAGAAGAGATATTTGGCATAAGTAAAGGAATAATCAAACAAAAGAAAACTATTCTTTGTACCGTATTCAGAACAAAATGCTACGTCTCACAGACACGAAAAAACTATGAGCACAACCTCCTAGCTGGCCCCGATAAACATTTTTATGCACATATAAATCTTAGCCTCAATTCCAAACACACCAGTTTCAACCTAATCGACAAAAACACTAATATTACAATTGACGCACAAGAGGATGTGGCCAATAATATTCCTTCGCTGCACAGTTCCAAAGTGTTTATGTGCAACCTCTCAGCACTTATTACGTGGCAGAAACGGACACTGCCACTTTGTTACCCGCAAAACGTAACGGAGAAGTAAATTATGAAACTTGAAGGAAGTGAGACAGAGAATGGGTAACTAAAACAGAAAGAATAGAAAGAAAGGGTTGGTTGGTGGCTGAAATCTAGAAACGTGATTTCATGTGAAGGGTTGCCGACTAGCTTTCAATGCGGAGAGGGGGTGGGTTAATTAAATAACTAAATATAGAGCGCCACCTGCTTTTTCCCTGCAGTACACGAAATCAACCGATATAACGAAAGCAGGAAACTTCTACGGAACTATAGCAGCACAACCTGAAATATAAACAAGAAGGAAAGACAAAAGTGAAACGCTTTGCTACAATCAGGTACGGGTCTTTAATTAAAACCCGAACAGAATGGGTTTGTCTCCAGAGCAGGTTCGGAGAAGAAAAGAAATCGCCTAAAAACTAGAAGTACATAACCTTATACACTCTAAAAATAGTAATAACAATAAATTAACTCGAGTCCTTTAAAGTAAAGAGTACCGTACAACAGCAATTATACCTGAAATATAAATGATCAATAGACAAGCTTACTGAATGCAGTACCTTCGTAAATGGCCATTTAACCCCAGTGTACAAGTATTTACCTGTATTCAGTGCAGCATTAATCAAAGTTGAAGTAACAATACGTAACCTGAAGGGCTTTAATATTATGTAACAATATAGGTAGGATAAATACCTAGATACCTAATAAAATTGAAGTACCTAACAATACCCAACCTGAATGGTAAATTTCATATAGTAAATGGTAAGATATATAATTGATTTAAACTGAAATAATAACATCTAATCTGAAGGATAATTTTAATATAGTAGAACTGCGTTGTTGTGGTGATTTACTCCAACAAGGGGTAGGTAAGGTTTGATATTAAGACAATACAACACACTTATCAAACCTGAGTAGTTCCTAAACTCTTGGGGGAACCTGACGGATGGAACTAATATCTTCCAGTGTTTCTGATGGCCTGGGTCTGGATCAAGGCCGCAACAAGAAGCCACTGGCCCTGGGCACTGAAGTTTAGTAATTAGGAGTCACTAAAGCTTCCAATGGTCTAGAGGAGGCTGAAAATTGGAGGTACTACTTGAACCACACAGTAAGCTCAACGTTTAACTCTTTACTCAAGTTAAGGACTAAGCGTGACGACTAAAAGGTGACGATTAAAACGTAACGTCTAAAACTGAAGATTAAAGTGTAACTTCTAAAGGTGATGAATAAAGGCCTGAAACAAATGGACGTTATGAGACAGGGCGTGGAGCAATAGGTAGGTTTTGTCCGATATTCGGAATTTGACCGTATAATTAACAGAAAACTATGCTTTTACATAGGAAATAGAGAAACACAGAGGAGATTAATAAGAAAAACGACTTACCAAAATACTTTGGCCTTTAGGAACAAACACGGTCACGTTGCTCTTTTTCGACTCACAAAAAAAATCCGCACAAGGCGATTGGGTGCTAAAATAACGGATTAGCCACCCTAGATCTATGAGCGAAAACTAGACAACTCAGAAAATAGGCAAAATGTGCCTGAGGAATTTTCCCGAACACTTAATCGTGGAAAGTCCTCGACCTGAATGACCTCTGCTTGTCCCTGCAATGTCCTTTAAAAAGTCTCTGTCAAAACTCCAAGGTGGAAGGTACTGGGGATTTTGATGGTAGTTGGGGCATGGTACTTATTCAAATTAAGTTAGTACCGGTCACTGACCCTATTTGGAGCGCTGTCAATCTAGTCAATCTACTCGGATCAGACAATCAGCTGTTCCAATGTAAATATTGTAATTTTATTTATTAATAAATTAACTGACTATTTATTTTAACCCTACTAACAGAAAATCAATTCCATTATAAACCTCTAACTTAATGATTCTGGGAAAAATGAAAAGTTTGGCCACAACTATTGAAAAGACAACAGTGGCTTGACGAAGGTATGCTATTCATTGAGGCGAATACGCTTATTTCCTTTCATTTTAACCCAGGAAAAATCATCCCGTAACACACTGACACTACACCTGCTCTGCCACCTGCCACCGAATACCTATTTACAGTTAGAAATACCAGAAATAACATTTAAACCTGAAAAAGTGATGGCCGCCATGGGTTCCCTCCAGACCGACACCAGCCCTGCACCGGATCAAATTCCTGCAGTATTTCTGCCACGGTTCAAAGAGACACTATGCTAGCTATTATCGGAGGCAATAAATGACATATTTCGCACAGGACATTTTCCTGAGGTCTGGAGGAAAGCTAATGTTGTTCCAATATTTAAGAAAGGCAACAAACAGCTACCTACCTGAAAACTTTAGGCCAATTAGTTTAACCAGTGTCATCTGCAAATGCATGGAGAAAATACTAGTAGGTGCGCTAACAACCTTTTTCCTGGATAACCATATCATCCCTAATGAACAGCATGGCTTCTTTCCTTGAAGGTTTACCATACCAAACCTGTTGACCGGAGTGCAGAAATGGACCTGTGTTGATGTTAACCAACCACCCATAGATGTTATCAAATCAAAATATGCTTTATTGTTTAAAGATACAAATCTTGATATTAACAAAGCTTCCAAATACAATATAATTAAAATTAAAATCATCAATAAAGTAGGTACGTAAAAATAAAGAGAATAGACAGGAATAAAAACAACTGGATAAAATGTAAGATTAAAAACAAGAAAGCAAGATCGAAAGACTGCCTCAACATTAAAATTAAAAACAAACTTAAAATTAAAACTTAACCCATTAAACAGAGGAGATGAGAAGTATTCCTCTACAGAGTAAAAACCCTTAGCCAAAAGTAATTTTTTGACTTGTCTCTTGAAACATCTACTCTCCTTTATTGTTCTTATGCTATGAGGTAGGTGATTAATAGTACATTATATACCTAGGTAGAGAAGTTGGTCATTATATACCGAGGCGCGAAGCGCCGAGGTTTATAATACGGAAGGTAAATAATTACTTTCTCTACCGAGGGATATATAGATTTTTTTTTATTACTGCCAGTAGAAAATAAAAAATAGGTTTGAAACCTGTGCTCAAATTATTCTCTCAATTTTTTCCCAAAAAAATTAATGGAATAATGACTACTTCTTAGGTTAGTAGTAAAAAAACTACTTTACGCACTGGTGCGTGACATTTTATGTCTTCTAAAAGGTGCGTAACGTAAGTACTTTACGCGCGGTAGTGGAAAAAAACCATTATTGCGCCTTCACTTACAGTCGGGAATGAG